CACACACACACACACACACACACACACACACACACACACACACACACACACACACACAATCAGTTTTATGTCTGTCAGTCTTTTTTTATGTTGCCTGTTCTTCCCCTGATTTTTTCTAACCTTTTTTTTGTGCGCCCAACTGAGCACCCTTAAGTAGTGCCAAACAGTCGGTRGTTCCTCGTTTGGAGTGCCTACTGCACTCTTATGGGGGCTGCTCGGTTCGGGATGTCTGTGTTGCCTGTCGGTGATGACGGATGTTCGTCGGAGTGACTCCCTGGCTCAGTGGGTGGTGGGAACCAACAGTCTGCGGGGTTCGATCGTGACGTAGGTCATGTGCTGCTTTGCTCCGTGTTGGATGTGTGGACGTCCTCGTCTGCGCTCCACCGCTGCCTTGCTGCCTGTCCCGCTTTCTTTGCGTGTGGTTCTTTGCGGGTTGACGTGTTCGCTGTGCGGTGTGCCCGAGTTGTTGGTGTTGCCTTGCGCTTCGCTGCTCCGCTGCCTTGCTGCTCATCCACTGGCCGTGCCTTCCGTGCTTGCTGCCTGTGTGCCCTGTAGGTTGGTTGCCTTGTGGCTGGTGCCTTGTGCTCCGCTCCTCGGTTGCCCAGCTGCTGGTTCACTCGCCCTGTCATCCCCTGCAGTGTTATTGCCTTGCTTGTGTTGCCTTATGCTTCACTACACGGTTGCCGCGCTGCGTGCCATGCCGTTCCTTGCAGTCGTTTTTGGCGTTGTGCAGTCATGTTGCCTCTACTGTGTTGCCTGGTGCTTCACAGGGTTGCTGCCCGCTGCTGTGTTCCTCTTGGGGACAGTCTGACTTCAACAAGGGTCAAAGGCTTCATGACCCAAACCGTCAAATACGGAGATTCTGCAGATTGTCGAGGGTTCAGCCTCCTGATGAGTCGGTGCAACTCCGACGAAACAATCTTGTTATCAACTTATCACCAATTTCAATTTTTATTTTTTTCAGTTCTAGTCTTTTGATTTACTGTTGTTGCTTTGCCGGCTTGTGTTGTCCGTCTCTCTTCTCGCCTTGCCCTTGCCCTCAAGCCTATGTCTATGCCTTTCGTCGATACTACTTGTTTCTCAGCTCACTATCTTTCCCTTGTCCTATCGTGTTCTTGTGCCCGCCCGCCTCCCCCGTCCCCCCCAGTCTGTGTTTTGTTGTTGCTTGTCGTTTATGTGCCTCGTATGTCTCCCCAGTGTGTGTTATCTCCTGTTTGTTTTTCCCTGCCCCTTCCCTATGTGCTGGTCGGTTTCGCTTCAACAGTAGGGCGTTCGGCTTCTTGTTGTTCGCTTGTTTTGGTCATGCCATATGAAGTGGACGATTTATTTCCTGGCGGGTTGCTTGATGTGCTATTTCCGCGCAGCTCGCCACGTCAGTTCACGAGGGGGTTTCTTCTCATATCACACACACAAACACACACACACACACACACACACACACACACACCTACTCTTCGTATTTGTGTTGCAATTCATGTAATTGCCTCAACTTGAATATTGCATCAGGATTTGAACTCGTAGGATCATAACAGTAGCTTAGTTTTGTACAGTTTACTGTCTACTCCCCTCTCCCGGGGCCATTTTCGGATCTGCTGTTCGCACACTCATTGCTCGCTGTTTCTCCCACACTCATTACCCAGGTTGCTTTGCTTTGTGTGTTATTTTTCCTCACGGAAAGACACAGGGTTGACTAACACCTGGAGAAGAAAATGAGACAACAGACAACAGATCACGCGATGTGAACCGCACATGCAGGTGCAAAGTTGGGAAACTCACCAGGTCCAGACATAGCGAGGATTAACAGATTGAGAGCTCTTTCTTAACTCTATGGGTGGTGAAGGGGGCCCTTTGTGTGTGTGTGTGTATGTGTGTGTGGGGGGGGGGGAAGGGGGGGGGAACAGGAACAAAATTAAAAGTTTTTTTTTTTTTTTTTAACTACGAAATTGTCGGCAGTTTCTATGAATTCAGAGAATAGCAGAGTATGATTTTGCGGTAGCATCTGGGCTAAAAGTTGCTCACAGTGATCTTTTCCATCACTTCCTTCAATGGAATTTTTATTATTTTGTCTTGTGCATTTTTTTTTTCGCGTACGTGCATGCCGTTCGGCACGCATGTGCATTGCAGGATATGCACTGCACATATGCAAATGAACGCACTGGGTCCAGTTGCCCATACGATCAGCACCATCCAGATGAACCAGGACATGAAAAGCGGTTGACAGAGAGAACAGAACAGACGAGCAGAATACCTTTCTCCGCCTTTTGGCTAAAAATAGATAAAATGCAGTGTATCTTTTCTGAACAGTGTAATATCTGATCCATGGTCAATTGGGCCCCATTTAAAAAAAAAGAAAAAAAGAACAGATGAGCACAAACCAGAGGAGGAGAAAACTACAAGCACATATGTAGCAAAAGCTGCAAAACCCCACAGAGCAGCAAATGGAACTTTTTTATTATTTCCAAAAAAAACTTAAAACACGATTCACATGGCTGATGCCTAAACAACGTTCTGGGACGGACAGTCGACAGCCATAACCGCCGTGCTGGGAACGGCAGGGACGGACAAAGAAGAGCAGAAAAAAGGAAGTCCTGGCTCTACAGGAGGGCACCTCACAAACTTTATCTTTTTGTCCGTAAATCCAAATAAACGAACCGGCGGCGGCAGCTTAGCTTCCATTCCTGCCGTGCCATAAGTTGCACCTGTCCTCTTCTCCTCCGCACGAGAGGGGACACGATTAGTGTCGCCTGACCGTCGCTCATCGGAGTCAGAAGAGAGCGCAGCCGTGCCCTTTTGGCCCGCACCTGTCCAATTCCGATCGCCTTCACCGGACCCGGCACAGGGCTCAAAGAACAATTGACTGCCAACGGTCTCTTCGTACGTCCCAGTAAGCTCTATCCCTGATTCAGGAAACACTAGGTGTGGGGTGTCGGTTGCCAGCCCATACAACTTTATCATTCCTAATTGGGGAAGGCCAGCGCCATGAAGCTCTGTACCAAGATCCAGCACAACATACTCTACCTCCTCCTCCTCCTCCTCCTCCTCCTCTGCTTCCTCCTGTTGCTGTTGTTGTTGCTGCCTATCGGCATCTTGTCCCTCCATTCCTCGTCCATGATGGAGGTCATTCCTTTGTTCCTGCCTTCCCACTAGTGGACCATCGCCCCCATCCAGATCCATTCCCAGCAACTGAAAGCTGGATTAAAGGGGTCCTCCCCCCTCCTGGGGTCTCCCTATTCCGCCCCCCGCCCCCCCCCTCCCTTTGCAGAATGGGGTGTTGCTCAGCTGCACAATCACACAAAAGAATCTACGCGAACACGAGTCCACCACCGATCACCTGTCAGCAGATGACAAGCACTTCCTAACTTGCAGTGCTGCAGTCAGCTATATTTCTGAAGCGCGCAACCAAAAAACAAATGCAAACCGGAGCTAGTCACAACCCCATCGGTCAACCTGAGCATGGCTGTATCAGGCACACATTCCTGAACCTACAAGATCATTATAGAGAAGACACCCATTCATCCATAGATTGCCTGTGAACCTTCAAGTTTAACCTATCTATCTGTGTATCTATCTTATCTACCTATATATCTATCTATCTTATCTACCTATATATCTATCTATCTTATCCACCTATATATCTATATACCATATATATTGCTCTATATATCTATCTATCAAGAAGAGCATGATAAACGAAAGGCGGTGACAAACTGTTTCGTCGAAGTTTCAGCGACATATCTATCTATACATATCTATATACATACATATATATGTACTTGTACTTTATATAGACAGGGAGGAATCTTTACGCGCCTTGCTGTCCCTCTGGATCTCCTCTTTCTGATTAAACCTATATCAGTAGAGATGGGGAGAGAGAGAGAGAGAGAGAGAGAGGAGAAAGTTCTCCTTCCCTCGCCGACCTGTTCTACTCCTTTTCCACCTAGCAACGAAAGAAAACTTTGCTACTTGCGTACTTGCGGATCCGCAGGACTGCTTTCCTCCCTGGACTGTTTCAGTGATTCCCCATATTGTATCGCCTGTCCGGTCTTATCCACTTATATCCACTTATTCACCAACCAACCCCTTGCCTGCCTGCACAACAAGACACACGCGAACAGAAAAGAGTCGGCAGGAGAGGAGTGAAAAATCCAGCAGCGATGGAGCGATATCATAAACAAATGCAAGCGCAAAACGCGAGCGGAGAACAGAAGGATGGATAACAAGGCCATGCTCGCACCCCAGTCGTTTTCTGAATGCAGTCGACTGCAATTACGGCCAGATTCAGTCAAGAAAGTCCTAGTGTGAATGTGCACTAAGAACAGTGAGAGGGAATAGAATGCCAGGGGAAGCGTGCGAGGAATGGAGCAAGGGTAAGGTGGATGCATTGCCAAACTGTGCACACTGAGGGAGAACATATACAAAAGGAGGAGACCGGAACCATAGCCAAACCAGATCATACCAGACCAGACCAGACCAGACTAGGAATGGGAGGTGAAGAGAGCCAATGATGGCAACATTACGAGAGAGAAACAACAAAAAAAAAAAAAAAAAAGAAAGATATGATGGTGAGGAGCGACAGATAACTTTCGGCTGGTCCGAGAGGGTTGCGGATACGCATGCATGGTGGAGTATCTCCTGGCAACAAACGCACACAGAAAAAAGGGGGAAAAAAAAAATGCGGACAGGTAGCACGAAGTGTGGATGGGATCTCCGCTGTAATCAGCCAAGGAAGCCGGGGCTACGAGGGTTCTTCTCCCCCCCTTCCCCCCCCTAACTGAGGCCAACGAAGATGACGAAGAGAGCATGGAGAGAAGGGGAGAGAGGCAGAAGATGAACAGAAGACATGGAACCTTCAAGCCTTTCCCTTTGGCAAGAAAATAGAAGGGAGACACAGAGAAAGCGAGAAAGAGAGAGAGAGAGAGAGGAGGCTGAATGCTGCTTCTCTCATTCATCCACCTCCACCAACCAACGCCACAGTCGCTCCAGCTACCAAAAATCTATCTGAGAAGGTTGTTGAGGCATCGCTGCATCAGCAAAATAATCACGCTAAAAATAGCATAAAACGGTTTTCACCTTTTAGCAGTAGCGGATGCAGTACCCAGGGTTCGATCCCTAGACCTCACCCTACCCATGTACAGTATCTGTGTAGACCCCGGGAATTGAACCTGTGACCTGTGTATTCGTAGGCAGTTGGTAGGCCTGTCGTAGGTCCATAGGCAGCAGGGGTTCGATCTGTAGGTCTATAGCGTAGGAGTCTTAGTGAGTTCCGGAAGCTTAGCTGTAGACCTTCTAGAAGGTAGGCAAGCGGGCAAGTGGTCAAGTGGTGAGGCAAGTGGTGGACTAAACCGCAGTGCAACAGCAGTACAACGTCGGTAGGATAGCGGTGAGTCCACAGTCAGCCAGCAGAAGGTCCAGTCAGTCCCAGTCCGGTCCAGCAAGTACCACAGGGGGACTGTGAGCATCAAGGGCCGATGGCAAAGGGCAGACCAACGAGTTTCTGAAGTATAAATCAAGAGGCAGCGCCCAGCCATGCATTCATTCCGGCGTGAGCCATGCGGAAGCGCTGCCACAGCGACTTGTGCAAGGAGGTCTGCAGATGAGCCCGGACGACGCAGTGGGCAAGAGAGGAGGAGTTAGCATAGCGATAGGTTAGAGGCAGCCATAGCAGCCATAGCTGTAGTTAGTAGTGAGTGTGTGTGTGTGCTAGAGTGTTAGAGTGATGCGTGTGGGATATCCAGGATGATCCAGTGTATGTGAACAGTGAGATGTTTGGGCGCTGA